CCTCCTTGCCGACATCCCATGTCGAGAAGCGTCACCGAATCTCACCATCCCGTGGCACCAGATCGTGCATTATAGAGGAGTATATGAAGTACAGCATCAGCTGGAAATTCTAAGAGCAGCCCCCAACCTCATCGCATGCGGCCTCGGTTTCACAACATCTGCTTCCAGTATAGCGGACCAAGTTGTCGCGCTTCCCTACCTTCGCCGACTCCATCTAAAACGTGGCCGGTTCTTGAATAATCTCGAGGCCCCGGTACTCGAGCAACTGTTCATGACTGGTGAGGTGGACACACTCCCCTCTTTCCTCCACCGCTCCTCCTGCCAGCTCACCAAACTCGTCTTGACGTACTGCACACCATCACCCGCCCTCACCGATGTTCTCCATTTGCTCCCCGCCCTCACGGATCTAATTCTCGAGCCCAATCCGGGTGTACAACAACAGACGAAGCAGCTGCTGGGCGAACTGACGCTCTCCGGCGCTCTGTCCGATATCTGCCCCCGCCTCGAAGCGTTTTCCTACGGGGATCGCCGCCTCGGCGATGTCGCCGACGCGTTGTTTGCCATGGTGCAGTCTCGCGTTCGCCCCGGACGCCGAAGCGGCCTGTCCATTTTTCGCATCTGGTTCCACAGCTTGTCTGGCGCAGTCGCGGAGCGGCTCAAGGAGTTGTCGGATGAAGGCCTTGACGCGGCTTATATTTCGCACAGTGATGCGGCGGAGTGGATGAGGAGAGGGTGTCCCTGAGCTACCAGGTACGTAGGCATGGTCGACGGTGCGTGTGCCTCAACCAAGATATATTGCCTAGAGCTGATCCTTGATTTTCAGTGGCGACCTATTCGTCAAGAAATGCATTTCCCGTTTAATTCTTAAGTTACTCAGAGGGATCTGTGCTCATTTTCCGAATATTTTGTTGCATTTTGACTAAACACGACGTCTTTCCCGCGTTGTAACCCCGGTATCTTAATATTCGAAATAGATCGATTCATGAATTTCAGGTTGCGATGGCCTAAACAATCGGGCTTCCAGACGACGCATTTATTTATTTAACACGCAGGAAAGTGCCATAATTTCCCGGTGCCTGAGTTAAAGTGCGTGTTGAATAACTTCGATTCAGTTGTGATAACCCCTCACCATTTTGCTTGAATCATGAAACAAGGACCGTTACTCCTTTTTCAGTGTGGGGTGTTATAATTTTGGATCCTGAGCGTCTACTATTTTCAGCACTCCTTTCACACAGCAGCTTCTTCGATCAAGGCTATGGTGTTCATGGGAGTTATCAGCCTGTTCACTCGGAGGAAATGTCATCGGCGAAGGAGCCGGAGCCCGATGCAATCTCTGACTCACTGGGATACATGCCTTCTAGACGCCCGTACACTTTCATAAGACAGAGAAGCACGACATGCGGCATCCTGCTTGCCACCTCCCACCGCATGGGCAATACACTCGATACCTCTCAAACCCCGTCGAAGAAGCGAGAGGATGAAGCGGATCGTTACACTTCGCTCGATCTTGGAGTGTGGCGGCTCTTACTTCCCAAACAAACATCCACCGGATTCCGAGTTTCAATCGATAAATGGAATAACGTCGCTGCCGCTTATCCACTCGTGCTTCGGTTCTACAGGAAATCTACTCGCTCAACCCGGGGGTGTTTATCCTCGTGGTCATGTTGAAATTCTGGGCAGCATTCGAGTCTGTGCTAATGCTATATGTCTCGGACAAACTCTTGAAAATTGTGAGAGTCTGCTGATTGTGGTGCGCTTTCTAACAACATCGCAGATTGAGGTCCGTATTAGAGAAGGACGCCCGGATGCGAACGCCATTACCCATGCGCTTGTAGCACGTTTGATATGTGTTACTTTTACTGCGATAACTAGATGGGCGAGGTGCGTTGTCGCCCAGATTACACCGCGGAGATTTTTTCATCGATTCCTTGTTGCAGACAATACATCTCTCCCATTCTCGAGTCTCATGTCGAACTTCACTTCGAGGATTATCTACTCCGGGGTGATATGTCTGATAATAAAATATTGAATACCGCTCACGATCTCAACTTCAGCGAATCTCCGACTTGACATGCCCACGTCAAATGGTACGACCCCTTAGGCATTGTTGTCCATGTTTCCGCTCATTTCAGTGCGTCAGACAGCAGCAGTAGATCGCGGGCCAGCTCAGAGGACGCCTGGCGCTCATTTGACGGGCTTTGCGAAGCCGCTCAATGGCTCTTTTCACTCGTTAGCCAGCTCGTATTTATATCGCAGCAAAAGAGCGCAGGTCTAGTGTTCATGCTGCTCGCTGTCGCACGCCCGCTTTGGACATTAATGGGCCATCGGACGTTGTGGTTGAAACGTAATTCCCCCTTCTCAGCTACACGCCCAGCTGACCTATGGGCTTTACAGCACATGTTGTGTACTCCGAGAATACGGCATACCTCAGGCTGGGCTCGTTGCAATCTATGTCTGCGTCGTGGTATCGCGGGGATGTGATCGCGGGCAATATCGCAGGATGGATCACAGCCGGTATGTTCATTCAATAAGCACGGTGTAACTCTTGCCATATCCTCGCTGCCGCAGAGTACCACCGCGCCCGCGACACACTCGGATCCGTCCCGTGCCAGAATGTCTGGGCGCAGTACAGTAGGGTATTGACGCCCACATCTGAAATCACCGAAAGTTGGGCCGGTGAACTCCCCACGGTGCGTCGACGGCCGCCGTCTCTCATTTTCGCTATCTTGATTCCTCACCATGAAATACGCAGCTCTACTGGGTGCTCAACGCAATGTTTCGGCCATCAAAGTTCTCAATGACCTCGATCGCGATTCTCCACCAATACTCCATGTCCCTAAATTACTCACTGCAGATGCTCTTCTGGGCTGTCTCTGGAGTTGGAAAATGCGTCACGGATATCAAGCTCCTGTACCAAACAGCGGAAATAAAGAACATCGTCGTCGATGGAGACACCCCATATCCGCGTGAGAGCGTCGATGGGCTCAAAGGAATGGATATCGAACTCCGGTGTGACTCTTTGTCCTTAGCCTTCCAGATGGACTGAGTCCTTTGCCGCAGGAACGTCTCTTTCGCCTACCCGGGGGACAAAGCAAAGGAGAAAGCGCTGCAGGACATTTCCATTAGAATTCCTGCTGGTAGTCTGGTCGTCATCGTCGGCGCGAACGGTAGCGGGAAATCAACGATCATTAAGCTGCTCGCCAGAATGTATGATGTGGACGCAGGCGCGATCCTCATCGACGGGCTACCCATCGCAGACTACCGCCTCGCGGACCTGCGGCAGACGCAGGCGACGTTGACGCAAGACCACAACCTCTATCCACTTACTCTGGCAGAGAATATCGGACTTGGATACCCGGAGCACGTCGACGATACGGAAATGATCATGCAGGCTGCGGCAGACGGTGGCGCCGCAACGCTTCTAGACAAGTTCACGGACGGAGTGCAGACCAACTTGGAGCCGGTGACGACGGCATACGGGTACGAGTTGGACGATGAGAAGCACGAGGCGCTCAAAGCCGTCCTGAAAAAGCTGGAAAAAACAGCCGAGGTCTCAGGTGTGCTTCTACCCAGACTTATGTTTGGCCGTTTTCCGATCTGCTCTGAATTTAGGTGGTGAAAGGCAACGGCTTGTCGCGTCAGTATCGAGGTTATAGAATCCTTAATCATTTACTTAAAGATAAGCATTAGGTCGCGGACATTCATGCGCTTCCAGACGGGGAAAATCAAACTCCTGAGTGTTGACGAACCCTCAAGCGCCCTCGACCCCAAGGGAGAATTTGAGCTCTTCCAGCGTCTTCGGGAGACCGCTGACGGAAAGACCATGATATTCGTTACGCACCGATTTGGGCATCTGACAAAGTACGCAGATCTCATCGTGTGCGTTTTCTTATCCTTCTTCTACGGATACATTCGGACTGATAAATGTTGGATCCACAGATGCATGGAGGAGGGGAAAGTAGTGGAATCTGGGACGCACAAGGATTTGATGGCGCGCGACAGCGAATACGCAAGTCTGTATAACGTGCAAGCGCAAGCATTTATGTCTGCTGCGGAGTAATAGTTAAAAGCAACGCGATCTGAGCTATCTAGTGCTTTAGAGCTAGCTGTTGGTTGAAATTACGCAGGTGCATCTTTTAGATTTCGCGTCAGGTCTTATGTGCCCGTAATCCATGGCGAGTGGTGAAAAATAGATTACAGCATTTTTGCTCCCCACTTCAATACATTCTAATCTGTTGAGTGCATATTGAACCTTGGCCATCAATTTCCTGGACGCTTTGGCTTGCATTTCGTCGCCCACAGTATGCCACTCTCAATTAGCCTGTGATTAGAGTGTAGTTTGTCACCATCGAAATGTCCTACTACTGTTCGTGGCCAAATCCCGAACACTCAACCACCTTCACGAAGACCGGAAATATGTGAGGCAGCCAGACTCATAATATTGAACCCGGATGAGTACCAACAAGGACGCCTGGCATGGGCCGACACTGTGAACGTGACCATCCGCCACCGAGTTGGTTCTTAGGTTGAACGCAGGGGAGATGAATAAGCTTTATTTCATTTTATTTTTGGCCAGGGGACAGTGGAACCCGCCCTCCAAAAACGAATTTACTAAGACCTCATGACTCGAGGTTGATTTGAACAGGTGCCTTCTCCTTGCACGCCTTCTTAAATAACATCAAACGCAAACGCAGGCCACCCGCCATCGGGTCGGTTCTTAGCCTGAGCTTAGTGAAGACGGGTGCGCTTGTTAACTGCAGAATTTATAAATTAATCCACAGCCAACAAAAAAGAACGACAAGAATTAGAATGACTCGAGCCTGATTCAAACAGGCACCGTCTGCTTTCGATGGCTGATGTGTATATCAAGCGCAGACGCGGACCACCCGCCACCGAGTCAGGTCTTGGCTTGAACGCAAGGGAAACGTGTGAGCTCGTTTTATATTACTGCAAAGGCGGGACCCTTCCAAAGAAGAAAAAAATCACAAAGAATGGACGAATGACTCGAGCCCGAATCGAACAGGCATTGTTTGCTCAAATAATTCTTGACAATATCTAACAAGCGCAGACGCGGACCATCCGCCATCGAGTCGGTTCTTGACTTGAACCCAGGTGAAATGAGTGAGCTTATTTTAAATTTCGGCAAAAGATTGAAATGACCCTTCCAAAAAGAATAGGAAAAAAAAGAATTGGCAAACCAACGATGACTCGAGCCTGAATCGAACAGGCACCTTCTGCGTAAATTATATCCAAACGTGACAATGAGCGCAGACGCGGTCCATCCACCACCGAGTCGGTTCTTAGCCTGCATGCAAGGGAGATGGGTGAGCTCGTTTTATATTTCTGCAAAGTGGGTACTGTACTATTTCGACCGTAGGTTCAGGTGACGGGTGACGGAGGGTCGTGAACTGAACTTATTTAGTACCTGTGACGGTGACGACAGATGAATGAACATCTTAATTTTTGACGCCGGAAAAGGGTGTAAAATCAATTTTTGAGCTACACTAAGTTCGACAAAAAAAACAGCTAAAAATGCGACAAAAAAATAGAACTAATGTCCCTCCCAAGCGGGACCTTGGTAACGACGTGCTGCGATCTTTCTACGCTGACCCCGACCGAGAGTTGATGGTTCTTCTTCATCACTGTCAGAATCAGCATCCGAAGCCTCCGCGGTTCCCGACCGAGCAATTCCACCGTTGTCGTCGATGGTGAAGTTAGTCGCGATGGATGTTCCCCCTGAGGAGAGAAGGCCCGCGACGACATCCAGAGGAATGTCACAGTCGTCATACACATTCGAGTCCAGGTAAGGCTCTTCTTCGATGTCGTCGGCTCCGATGGTATCCAAAACAGTCGTCTGCGTAAGCGCGGCGTGGAGGGTCGGATTGGTCGTACGAAGCTCGCGAAGACCAGCGAGAGCTTCGGGCGATGTCAGCGAAGCGTGCGAGAGGTTCCAGGTACCGATACGGCACATCTCGAATGCCTGAAAGACGAATGATTAGATGGATCGCAAGGTTAATGGGAAGTGATTGACGTACCCGGGCAACTGTGGTCGGGTCATTGATGTCGTTGATAGCTTGCACAATCCATCCCACAGACCTGTCGCGCAGCGTGCCAACAGTGGTATCGAGTCTGATGTCGTGCGCAGCCTTACCGGCCTGAATTTGTCCAAGCGCCTCGTCGACGATGTCACGGTGAGCTGATCGCTTGATGCTCAGCTTAAGTAGACGCTGGATACCGACATCAAGCGGTTGCCAGACGCCGGTACAGCCGCCCGGAACAAAGAGCACAATGATATTCGGGTGATGTTTCTATCGAGGCATTAGGTACGGTACGGGTGAAGTGTTTGCGAAGAGGCTCACCTTCATCCACGCCAGGAAATCCTTCGACTTGTGGACCGACCAACAATCAATCTTCCAAATTGAAACCTGCGACACTGGAAGATTGAGCTCTGTCTTCATGGCCTCGAAGTATGGTGCGATGATCTCGTCGACAAGTCGGTGCATCGTGCCGTGATTGGACCAATACGTAGACGTCCCCGACGGTAACATGACGTATCCTAGTGCAATAGCCTCGGCGTACCGCGGGGCTTGCGGTGAGGGACACGACGCCGTGGTCTTGCCCGAGAAGACAGCTTGCATGGGGAGCAACACACCGCTGGCTGAAATCGAAGGCACAAGCGTAAACGCACGTTTCTCTTCCTGCCCGATAGTCGCCACCTGTTTAACGCCGCGCTGATTCCAGGTCGAGCCGGCTCCTTGCTGGTAAATAAGCTGCGTCTGGTCGGTGTTTACACGAAGAGCGGCAGGGACGGCGTAGTCACGTATAACGTGCGCCTCGCGGAAAAAAAGCCTCCTCCAGCAGCTTCTCGTGGTTTGCAGGGAGTTTCTGGGCCGCCTTTGTCGCACGACGCTCGCTCCACCCGAGGGTATTGCGAAGATAGCGCCGAGCAAACGACTCGGAGCAGCGAAAGTTGCTTCCGTCGCTCATGGTGCGCTGGAATAGCTCCGGGGCGTCGTTCTGAATGTGGCCGACCATGATGCCGCGTATCGATAGCAGCGTTAGTGCGACGCCGGCACCGCGAAGAGAGGTGAGGTGATCGTTAATTTTCTTGCGCGTCGCGGGGAATGGGTGCTGTCAACGAATGAATGACTAGGTATGACCACACTCGACGGATTGCACTTACCAGAACCCCGCATCGAGTCGTTTGCCCACCGGGCGCATTTCCCTTCCCTGCCTCAACCTTCCGTAGAATGGTATCCCTCCATCTCGACGTCCTGCTCTTTCTCGAACCCTCGATCCACCGCCCGAGCACCTGCTCCTTGAGCCCGCAAAAATCTTTGATGTTGCTCTTCTGAAGATCGGCCAAGATCGCACGCGGGCTCCACGGCCTCGAGGAACGACGAGCCGCAGAATCGATCTGCGACCATAAGAACGGGGTTTGCCAGTTTGTACGCTGGGCACCGCGTTTCTTGTTCTTCGGCTTCTGCTTTCGGCCACTGGGCTTGTTATCCTTCCGCTCGTCCTCCTTGAATTGACGCCGCGGACGGGAGAGCTCGGCGAGATCGGCGGGCTGGGAAGTAGGTGTCTCGTCATATTCTAGGAGATGGATGCGCTTCTAAGAATACAAATGTTAGCTCAGAATTAGCGAGTAGCTGCTGGACTCACGCGTTTCATTCCGGGGATCCAGCCCTCAGCTATCTTCGCATCACGGACACGATCCCGGTGCCGTTGCATCCGCTCGTTAGCTATGACCCGTGCCCTCGCAACCTTCTTGCGCTTCTCCTGCACTTCCCTCAACTGTGTCTGCTCAGCACGTTCACTGTACATCCTCGCATCCTTCTCGCGCCGCACGGCCTTCTCTTCTGCCGTCTCCGTCTTCCAATACTCCGTGATCTTCGGTTTCGCTGCAGCGACCGCTGCCAGAGGTTTGAGATCCGCGCGACTAGGACCAGCATGCGCTGGCGTAGCGTCAGCACTGCCAGACGCAGCCTCATCCTCGCTATCACTATCATCCACCTCGGCCTCGTCTTCACTGTTATCCACCGAAGCGAGTCCCGTCATATCATCGTCCGAGTCCGAGTACTCGACCTCGACGAGATCCGGCAGGCCCTTGATGTCGGAGACCGTCGTAGTATTGTCGTCCGCAGCCGGGGGATCGACGAAGGTGAAACCGTCGGATTGGGAATCGTCAAAGGAGCTTGAGCTCAGTTGGGACTCGGGTGGCCCAAGAGCATCATCTTCAGGGCCCCAGGCGTATTCGTCGGCATCACCCATGCCACGCGGTGATCCTCCCTCTCCCTCGCGTTCAGAATCCGTCACATAACCTCCCTCTGCACGGCGCGTCACCGATCCGAAAACATCGACTGCGTGGCTGGAGGTGAACGACGAGGGAAGGGGAGCGAAGAGAGGCTGTGCGGGAGCTGGTACAGTGCTGTCAGGCCGTCGTTTGAACAGGCGGCCCTTCTGTGGACTCGGAATAGGGCTCGGAGCGTCTGGATGCCCTTTGCCACGCTTCAGGCCCGTAGGACGCGCAGCTGGGACTTGAGGTGGGCTGGGGACCGGGGAGGTGATGGGGAACGCGAAGGTAAACTTTGTGCTGCCAGGGATTCGTTGCAGAAGGACGGGAGAGTCGGATTCAGAGTCGCTGTCGTTGTCGGAGGCAGCTTTGGTGGCGGTGAAATGATCGGACCGGTCATCCGAGTCCGCGTCTTCGTCTCCTGCGATCGCGAGGGCTCTCTCGATCTCGAGCTGTGGGCACAGGTCAGTGGAATTCCACTAGAATAAATGAACTTACTTGTTCAAGAGCCCGTGCGCAGATTTTATTGAAAACCTCGAGGCGTGAATTGATGGAATCCGTAGGTCTTGCCAAAGAGATGCTGGGATCAATGAAGTGTTGTTGGGCGTTGTCGGTGAGCATTCCGCACGAGAATCCGTCCACCTGATTCCCAATGGGCAAGTCCTCGAGCCCGATTTCTGCTGCTGTGTGCTGGCCAATCCACCAACGACAAGCGGCTAACAATTCCGCAGGAATAGGGGTCCCAAAAGAGTCGCCGTAGCGAATGATGCCCTCAGGCTGGGTCATGTCGAACACGACAGGCACCCAATGCGGCTCATCCGTGATATCCTCGAGGTGCGCCGTGGTAATCAACGCGCCACGATTCTGCACCACATCGGCACCAAGATTACGAATCCATCGCAGATCTCTATTGGTCCAATATGTGCCTACAAGGTACGCGTTAGCGATGAAGAAACTGTCGATAAACTGATACGCACCAGATTCGGCTGCTCGATAAGCTTCGAGAATCTTCGGAATCAATGCTGTTCCCCAGACGCGAGTATGATTCATCAAATCCGGATCGCTATTGATTTTGTACCGCAGGAGTTCTAGCATGTCGTTCATCTGAGAGCCTGCCAACCAATGAGGGCCGACGAAGCGCCAGAGGGTATGCATCGGCTCCGAATCGGAAAGGCCTGCCGGCTTGGAGCAGCCCCAAGGAACCATCGCAAGCATCAGGGTTGCTTCTTCGGCCAGCGGGGCACGGTTGGGATTTTTCCTGCTCGCGGTCTTCTGGCGGTTGATCCAGGCCTGACATTTCCGCCAGGGCACCCATGCATCCCGCTTGATCTCGACGACCTTGTTCCGGTATGTCAGGACCCACAACGAGAAGTGATTTACGACACCGTACGTACCTTGTCCCAGTAGGTCAGGATCCACAATGGGAAGTGAGTTACGACACCGCCGAGGTGGCTATAAATCACAGATTGAGCTCCATCCAGCCAGCATTGGCGACTGCAGGCTAGAAGTTTGTGGATAGTTTTCGCATCCGGAATAGGAAGATGTCGCACTCGAAGCATCAGCGCCTCGTTGGTGATGTCTGGAGCACTCCTGCTGAAGTACTGCGCAGGCTGGGCAGCCATTACGGCTGTATTTTCGAGAGGAAAGGGAAATTCGAGCATTTTTGCGATGGAGAGGAACGGCGATGGGAGTATATTTTCCACTTCCTGCGGAATAGAAAGCAGAAGAGTCGCAATTTTTCGAACCAGGGGTGGGGTGGATGCCCACACCTTGCCTTGTCCAATCCATTCAGAGTTTTTGAAGAGCTTGATATCGTCCATGGGTAGAAAAGTAGGGATGAGGAATAAATTGGGTTTTTTCGGATATCTACATGCTCTGCCCGTCAAAAAGGTACTATCGGCTTCCTCCGGTTCATAATATGATTGTCCCTGCTCAATATTTCCTCGTCTACAGATTCAACTAGACAGTCAGGTATTTTAGCGAAAGTAAAGTCGCCAAAATCGTCGGAGCTCGCCGGAGGCAGTCTGTATGGGTCTGTGGTTTGCAATTTAAATATTGGGATCACATTCTCCAGCTCCATTGGTGCTCAGAAAGAGATCGTTGGGAGGGCCAAGGCAGCGCCAAGCCGCCTGAGGGGGACCGGGCGGGCCAGGGCGGGCCTGGCGGCTTGCGTGACGGAATGAACATGACGAATGAACATTTATAAGGAGGTGACGGTGACAGGCGGGGTTTGAACATCTAACCCAGTGAACATGTAAGGTGACGGGTGACATGGTGTGAACCTACGGTCGAAATAGTACAGTAGTGAAATGCCTGCCAAAAACGTCTGTGTTGCGTACTCAGAAAGCGCAGAGCGGACCACCTGCCACGGAGTCAGGTTTTAGCCTGCATGCAAGGGAGATTTACAAGCCTCTTTATATTGCGGCAAAATGAGTATACTGGAATCCCGCCCTCACAAAAAGTAATGAGCCTACGCGACATATCATGACTCGAGCCCGAATCGAACGGGAATCCTTCTGCTTTAATCGAATTCGGTTACTAATAGCAGACGCAGACGCGGACCATCCGCCATCGAATCGGTTCTTGGCTTCAATGCAAGCAAGCTGAGATCACGGTCTCAAGACCTCACGTGCCCCACGGCGCGTCACGTACTTGGTGCCAAACACGGACAAAGTCAAATCAAAAGCCTTCCTTCTCCCCGCATTCCCGAGACGCTCTTCGATGTAGATGAATAGAGTGCAAAACGATAGAAACTCCACGAAATTATAAATTACACAGCAGAAGACTACTACGCGCGTCGGCGTTGTTCTCGTTGTTCTCGCCATCGGAGGGCGAGACCGCATACTGCGTCAGGAATAAACCTACCACCAACTTATCATCAATACCCGCTCGCGAAGAAAAGGAAAACGCGCACATAGTTTGTTCTCGTCGTTCTCGCCATCGGAGGACAAGACCGCATACTGTGTCAGGAATAAACCTACCACCAATTTATCATCAATACCCGCTCGCGAAGAAAAGGAAAACGCGCACCTAGTTCCCGACTCTTATTATCTTGCACGAACTTCAAATAACACCCGTCCTCTTTCCCCTCCGCGGCGCACGCGACCTCGAACGTGAAGAGCGTCCGCGTGGAGCAGGCGAATTCGGGGATCTTCAGCTCACTCCTCCCATTTGTATTTGCACTGACGGGCAGGCTGGCGAGGAGCTCCCGCCGTGAGGGCGGGTGTCCCAGGAGAGGTATGCGGCGACAGGGGTGCGCGCGCGGCGAGGGCCCATATGGCTAGCGTGAGTGGGAGAGGGGATACGGAGGCGGAGGTGTTCGTGGCGAGCGTTAGGACGCAGGTCTCCATCCCGAAGTCGATCGTGCGGAATTGAGATATGGTGACCTGCTTGTTGGGTGAGTAAAGATAAAGGAGGACGAATAAAGGGCGATGAAAGAAGGACGAGGAAGGAGGAAGGAGGAATTTGGCCAGGAATTTAGGAAGGAAAAAGAACGCACCCCGCTCTGAACGATAAACGTCAGATCCTCGCTATAAATCATCCCGAAATTCGATGCCCACCGCGGCGTCTGGAGGTACGTCTCCCCCGAAGTGGAGGCGTTGACGTGCGTGAGGAGGCCTGGGAAGTTCGTTATCGGCGCGGGGTGGTATGTGTGTTTGAGGACGGCGGAGGCAAGGCCGATGTACGGGTCGGTGTAGCGCAGTTCGGCTTATGCGTGTGGGGTAGGAAGCGGGGAGACGGGAGACGGGAGAAGAGCGGAGGGTGCGGTCTACGGGATTTCATTAGTCAAGTATAACTTGGACAGATGAATGAGTGTACCCTTGGATCTCGGCGAGGGTTTCTTTGGCGCCCACCCCCAGCCATCGACGGGCGCGTCTGAGAGGAGAGGAGTGGTTCTAAGCTCCTGCTGGCGACTCGGAGTTGCGATGCTGTGATACGATGTTTGCTGAGTTCAAACAAGCAGTATTCGGCAGTCTATTCCTCGATGACGCTAGGCGATGAGGTCAGGAGACGATGAGCGCTTGTTGGGCGCTAAAGGTGCACGTGCCTTGCGCATCGCGCACTGTTCGGCACCAAACATGGCCAAAGCGAATCCTTACACAAGTGAAACAGGTTCAACACGGAACTCAGTCAATTATAATGTCTGTCCGCCTGCTCTACTTCGGGTACTCCTCGCGTATGACTCGAGCCTGATTCGAACAGGCACCTTCTGCTTTACAGTGAAATATGCTGGCTAGCAAGTGCAGAGCCGGACCATCTGCCACCGAGTCGACTCTTGCATTGAGCGCAAGCAAGCTGAAATATGATATCAGCGATTTCCCAGGGCCGAACGACGCCGGAATTCCAAGCCTCATCTTTTCAGGTACGCAGGGCATGGTATTTTTTCCCGCTAACAGTTTGACAGAATTCCTGCCTAGGTTGCACGGCCGGCGACCCCAGCGTCCTGACTCCTCTTCACTTGCTGCGCCAGCGTTCGGGAACAACACGTGCAGTTGTCCGACGCGGTTTTCTTTGGACGGCGTATTATTTCGACTGCGTTACCAACAAATTAGTGGTGGCAAGGTTCGGTTCGGAAATCGGTCCGAACCTGAACCGAACCTGAACCGGACGCACGTTCGGCGTTCAGGTTCAGCGAATACTTGAACCTGAACCGAAAGTTCGGTTCAGCGTTCGGCGGAGAGCAGGTGCGTTCGAACGCCGAACCTAAAAATTCGTCAGGTGAGTGATTTCTACATGAGTTTCTCCACTGTTCGCGCTCAATTTATCCCACATTGCATAGCCTGGGTATTTATCCATCGCAAAACAGACCTAAACCTTCTCTTCGAGGCAAATTCAAAGCAATTTCGATGTTAATTGATGACGGTTTGTTATCACGTAATTTTCTAGCAAACTTGCGTGAGGATAATTTATCATTCGTAGGCGTCTCGGCACTAGCAAAGGCATGTGAGATACCTTTTCCAACCACCAGAGCACTGAAAATCTTGATAAGTGATATTTTCAGTGAGATTTCAGCCGCCCGAGATGGCCGAAGTGCCTTAGGTTCGAACGCGTTCGAACGCCGAACTGAACCTGAACGCGCGTTCAGGTTCAAGGTTCGGGAGTTGCCCGAACCGAACGCCACGTTCAGGTTCGGCGTTCTGGGCGAAAGGCCCTGAACCTGAACCGAACCGAACCTTGCCAGCACTACAACAAATCCAACGCTGACTGCGGCACGGCCGCGAGTACTAGTGCCGTTATGGCCCCATTGAAATCCGCTGTTGTTCTTGTGGGTGTTTGTGACGGAGAGAGTCGGCTAGGAATTGAGAGTTCGTTTGCTGCTTGGTCGAGCAGCCGGGATAAGTGGAATAATGTGGTATTGACCAAAGAGTAACTACGGACATCCAATGTATATATGGTGACACGAGTCAGGGGTCAAACCGAAACGGGAAAGGGATGATGGTAGATAGGTATCGGGCGCGAGCGCCGGAGTAGCGAGCGGGGTAGATAGTAAAGAAGAGAATGAGAAAGGAATGTGGGGTGTGATAAACATAAAAGGAAGGCGCAGGAGCGCACTGTTACAGTGTTATGCCGCTGCTGGGCGCGATGGGAGTTTAATTGGTGTCGGTATTCTTCAATACAAATGATGGTGTACTGTACGCTTCCACATCGACATTTCCGAGACATTATCTGATTCGTGGTCGGTCGATGTAGGAGGTGTAGGAGGCCGTTATCTTTTTGAGCGCCTAGTCGTAATACACTTGGGGTTGACGTGCCGTATCTTCCTGCTCAACAGCTATTTATGTTCAGACCCTGAATCGCGACGTCTAATTTCACCAGCCACCGTATCTCATCAGGTGAGTATGGCGTTCTTCCGCTATTTATATTGAGAAGCCAGCCGCAGGTATTTATATTGAGCTCATCCGGATCTTTCTTCCCCGCCCACATAGATGATGCCAGCCGCAACGTCTTCCCTCTCCTCCTCCGTTGCGCTTCCTTCTGTCGTGCTTCCGAAAGGCTGCTCGAGCAGTGACTTCCTCGGGCCTGATTCCATCGGAAACGGAAGAAGCGGCACATTTTCAGGTACGTAGCATATTGTGTTCTTCCGCATTGTCAACCACTGGACGAAACTACCAACAGGTTGCACAGCGGGTGTCGCCAGCGTCCTTCTTTCCTGCTGCACCAGCGTCGGGAGTACGGCGGCCTTCGTGAACAACACGTGCCTCTGTCCGTATAACACGATCTTCTCCCCGGTTACAGAGGAGAAGTTCTTCGACTGCGTTGGCAACAACTCAGACGCTCAGTGTGGCACAGCCTCGGGTACCAATAGTGCCACTGTGGCATCATTGCGGAATGCCATAGTTGTTGTCTTGGGTGTTGCGCTTCTATTGGGCGCAATGGGCGTGTGATGGACTCGGACTCTTCAAATTCCCAACTATGGTCTAAATTCCACATCTACGACAAAAGTCTCCAAGAAATCACCGATTCATAAGTAGTAGCCGGCGTGTTCCTTCGGGTTGGCGCGTTGACGTGCCGCATCTCCCGATTCAACAGCTCTTTATATTGAGCTACGTAGAGTAGCTTTCACAGCGTCCAATTCTACACAGCATTCGGCAAATCTCTGGTGAGATTATTTTACAGTCCTGCGAAGCGAGTGAGTTCAACAAAGAAAAATACAAGCAACTTCACGAATGACTCGAGCCTGATTCCTACCAAAGTACACCCTGGCCAATTTTATAGCAGGCGCAGACGCGGGCCACCCGCCACCGAGTCAGTTCTTGACTTTAACGCAAGCGAGACGAATGTGCGCATTTATATTCCGGCAAAGCCAGTAGTAAAGAAATGCCCGCCCAAAAAAAGAAAAACTGAATCGCGGCCAAGAATGACTCGACCCTGATTCGAACAGGTACCTTCTGCTCAAATTTCTTCCCTCAATCTCCTTACATAGTGCAGACGCGGACCACCCGCCATCGAGTCGACTCTTAGCCTGCATGTACATGCAAGATGGATGAGTGCGCTTATCTTACATTGCTGCGAAGCTGGTAATAAAATACCTCCGGCAAAAAGAAAAACATATCAACAATCAAAGAATGACTCGAGCCCGAATCGAACAGGCGCCTTCTGCCTCAAAGGAACTTGTGGGTGAAATGAGCGCAGACATGGAACATCCGCCATCGAGTTGGTTCCTAGCCTGAACAGAAGGCACATGCGTGAACCTCTTTATATTGCGGCGGAGCCGGCAATTAAGTACCTCTTCCATGATGGAAAAAGGCATAGCCGACGAAGAAATCAATGACTCAGGCCTGATTCGAACAGGCATTATCTGCTGAAAATCCTTCCGCCGGCATAGCTAGCAGGGGCAGACGCGGACCATCCGCCACCGAGTCGGCTCTGGAGTGGAGCGCAAGCAAGCTGAGAGATGGAGATATCAACCGAGAAAAAAATCAGATTTCAAAGCCCTCACGTGCCCCGCGGCGCGTCGCGTACTTTGTGCCAAACACGGACAAAGCCGCGCCCATTCCTCCATTCGTTTCGTTTCTTCCGTGTTCGACGGGGTGAGATGGAGCGGAATGGATAAAGCGAGACCAGGAACAGCGAAAATTTACCCGCGAAATTATAGTACAATGCACCGTAAAAAAATTAATTACACAGGTCAACAGAGGACTACGCGTCGGCGTCGTTCTCGTCATTCTCGCCTTCGCCATCGCCTTCGGAGGGGGAGGCCGCATACTGCGTCAGGAATAAGCCTACCATTATCACCAAATAATCAACGCATGCTCGCGAGGAAAAAGGAAAAGGAAAAGGAAAGCGCGCACCTAGTTCCCGACTCTTATTATCCTGCACGAATTTCATATAACACGCGTCCTCTTTCCCCCCCTCGGCGCACGCGACCTCGAACGTGAGCAGCGTCCGCGCGGGGCAGGCGAATTCAGGGGTCCGCAGCTCATTCGTGCTTGCGCCCGGGGTGAAGGTGAAAGGCAGGGTGGCGAGCAGCTCCCGCCGCGACGGGCGGGTGTCCCAGGAGAGGGTGTGCGGCGACAGGGGCGCGGGGGTGGTGAGGGTCCACACCGCGAGCGTGAAGGGACGAGGGGAGACGGAGGCAGAAGCGTTCGTGGCGAGCGTCAGGACGCAGGTCTCCATACCGAAGTCGATCGTGCGGAATTGGAATATGGTGGAGACCTGCGGGTTGGGTGAGACTTGCTTGTGCGAAGATACGAGTAAAGGAAAAGGAAGCGCACCCCGCTCTGGACGACAAACGTCCTATCCTCGCTATATATCGTCCCGAAATTGGACGCCCAGCTCGGCGTCTCGAGGTACACCTCTCCCGGCGCGGAGGCGTTGACGCGCGCGAGGAGCCCCGGGAAGTTCGTTATCGGCGCGGGGTGGTACGGGTGTTTGAGGACGGCGGAGGAGAGGCCGATGTACGGGTCGGCGTAGCGCAGTTCCGCTTGTGCGTGCGGGGGAGGGGGAGGGGAGGAGGGTGAAGAGCGGAGGGTGAAAGCGAGGTTGAAGAAGAGGGAGAGCAGGGAGACGGCGCAGGCAAGGAGGACGAAGGGGAGGGTGCGGTCTGCGGGATTCACCGTTAGTCGGATATAATTTAGACAGACTAGACGAATGGCGCACCCTTGGATCTGGGCAAGGATTTCTCTGGAGAGGGCGACCCCCAGCCATCGATAGGTGCGTCCGAGAGGAGGGGGGTGGACACCGACATCCTACGCTGAAGGAATTTCGCGAGTCGCGATGTCCTTGGATTTGCATTTCGGGTTAGGGTTATGTCTTCCGAGCTGGTTCATCAGACGAATGCAGCGACTGAACCGCGGTAAAAATATTCTCACATCTCCACTGATGCCGATAAGCGATGGGAAATCTGTTTGGGGTATGTGTAATGGCGGCCTCGCAACTGTGCTCCCGCCCTCGCGCTCGCTCACATCCCGCCCGCCGCTTCTGCGCGTACCCACCAGCGATGCCCACCCGGGTGTCCGCCTCCGCCGCGCTCCTCGCCGTCCTCCTCCCCCTACTCCTCGCTAACGCCGCGCGCATGCTCTCCCTCCCCGAGTTCTTCGCACCCCGTCAGTCCTCTCTCTCATTCCTCCATCCTCCACCCCCTTGCTCATCTATCAACAAATAGCAAAATCCCCCGCCCTCTCCCCGCGCCTGTCCCTCGTCCTCCCCCCTGTCCTCATGGACGTCCACAACACGGCCAACTACGAGCTAAACGGGAGCCTCGCCGACGCCCAATGGGCCGCGCTCTTCCCCGCGCAGGGCGGCGTCGTCCGTCTGGGCCCTGATGGCGAGCCGTTTATGCTCTCGATGTTCCACCAGCTGCGGTGCCTCGACGTCATCCGGCGCGACTACGTCGCGGGGTCCATGGACGCGGGGAAAGGGACGTCAGCGGCGACGCGCCATTGCCTGAACTACATCCGGCAGATGATCCTGTGTCGGGGGGACAGGCGGCTGGAGGCGGTCGTGGACCCGTACGGTGCGCATGCGGTGCAGGTGCGCGGGACGCAGACGTGTCGCGATTGGAGCGCGGTGTATGATTTTGTGCGGGAGCATGAGTGAATGATCATTTTCTTTAGTTGAGAATTAATGGGTGTATGAGTATTGGGCGCGATGATGTTGGAGGTGCGCTGCACGATACTGGTCTTGGGCGGCTGATTTATTTTTTTCTGAGGGAAGATAATTCATGCGCGCGTTTACTGTCGGAAAGACAAACTTACGCCTAAAATACAATGACGAGGTTCTGTATGAGTCAACACCGATGCCGACTTGTGATTCTGAACCAACCCACTTCCACCCACTCACATGTTCGGCGCCGATAAACGAGCTACTTTAACCTAATATCGATGCATTCAATTTACATCCAATCATTCTTAAGCTTGTTCTATTACAATCCGCCTTGACTTCCCGCGAGCCCCAAAGACTCCTTGAAACCACAACTCTATGAGTCTATCAACCTCGGCGTATCAACCTCGGCGCGGGCGTCGCCGTATATATACGTTATCGCAAAACCCATCTCGTCCGGCCCACACTATCATGGGACTACCTCCTCGGGTCTCACCGTGTACGGGATTTACTTGCGCGCACACCGGCACTATCGCACCCGCGAGCTCGCACTCGCGCGCCCACGGAATTGCAACACGAGACCGTACGCATCCGGACAATCTTTCACTTGCTTTAATGTGTACGCTCCATCCGTCCATCCATCTATCAAGGTCCGCGGAAGATTAAACAGCTATCAAGATCAGGAAGACGTTGAAACACGGTATACAGTGGAGAGAATCCATCTATCAGAGTGGTGCTGATTTGTTGTGTTGATGTTAAGGTGTATCCCATACACCGACGAATGCGAGTTGGAGGATAAGGTACTGGAGTGGGAGAAATAACAATATGAAGCGAGGATTCCCCGAGCCCCCAGATTTTGGGGTACGGTGTACATAACGAGGGCGCCACTACTAGTACCTACTAGTACCTACTAACCGCATAAACCAAATGATCCATTTCTGCCACTGGGCCGCGGGATAATTACGGAATCCGAGTTCTAAATCGGTATCGAAGTAAGGACTTGCAGTTTGCCCGACCTGAGAAGTTGAGAACGACGATGACGCTGTGTGTCCTATATATAATGTGCTGTATCCCAGCGTGATGGTGCCTGGTGCTGAAGTCGGATTATATATGGATGCGGGAGATAATGCGGGATGTACTGGGATGTGCAGAGGATAATGTCAACGTATCTCCGTTTTATTCCCGCAATGCATGTGGGCCATCGTCAATCAATATCAATGCCCATCTCAAATCCGGGGCACTGAGATAATTATCTTATCCCTCTTGCTCCGTAAAATCTAAAATGACGGATCCAAAATTTGAAATGATGTTCTTGCTCCGCTCCGTGGAATCTAAACTCTAAAAATATGTTAATGTATCCTTTTACAGCACGATTTCCGAATTCGAATTGCTGGGAGCCAAAGCCTTTTTAACTTCAAGCTATGGCCGCAGTGACCGAATTTGAATGGATGGGAGCCGTTAAAACAGGAAAATATTATGGGTAGTGTTCGTGTTCGTGTTACATTTTTTGCAGAAATACCTCCGCAGTGTACTGTAGATAACTGCATCGAACTCGAAATCGAAAATGACAAGCCAGCGAAAAGGGGGGCAAGTGCAAGTACTGCGGCGTCGAATGAATGCGAACGTCGGTTACAGTGAAAAAAATAAATTCAAATGGCCCGGTTTACTACCTACCTTGCCCCTTGCTCCATAAAGTTTTAATGACCTGAACAGCATCGCGTTCATTTATCCTTATGTGTGTTTTTTTGAGTTCGAGTTCGAATTGCTGGGAGCCAAAGCCGTTTTGACTTTAAGCTATGGCCGCAGTGACCGAATTTCAATGGATGGGGACGTCTGTGAGCTGTTAATAAAGGAAAATAGTGGGCCGTTGAAAAAGGAAATATTGTGGCAGTGTTCGTTCGTGTTCAAGTTTGTTGTTATGCAGCGGGATCAATGTCATTGAAAAGGACGCGGTGAAGAGGAATTAGGATAAATTAGGGATTTGAAGCTTGAGATTCCACTGCTGCGGGCCAGCATGGGAACAGTCCCGTCGATGTGAAAAAATAGTATGTATGTGGGTTTGTATGTCTCCGGCGTAGATCGACTGCTGTTGAAAACATGCTAGTGAAAAGAGGGGGAGGATAAAGTTAAACCGAGAATCCACTGCTGCACCATCGGATGAATGCGAACGTCGGTCACTGAAAGAAATTTGATTCAGATGGTAGTCCAGGCTCCGGTGGTTGTCTTAGTGTTCATATTCGTATGGACCCGGCGTGGATGAATAGCTGTTGAAAAAATTTGAGTTATGCATGTTGTTCTCTCTGTGCTCTAAAGATCATTTGCGCGGAAGAGCGGGTGTTTGATACGTTTAGATTTTAATTTTCGCTGGACACGGAAGGAGTGTGAGTGTATCAGCTCTCAAAAAATCCAAATTTCTTGACGTTCTGATTGGCTTGGAGCTGTGGAGCAACCAATCGGATTGCAGAATTCTCAAAAAGTCGCGAGTGCTGATACACTCTAAGTAATCCATGTTCCATGAAATCCCATCTTTCCTTCCATATTAGGATTTCGGCAAATCCGCAAAAATAAATTGTTCTTCCTGCTTCCTTTCAAGACATAGCTCCATTGCTCAGGGTCGAAGGAAATTCGGTTGCATTGACAGCGCTCAGGGCTGCCACTGGCACTTGAGAAGCGTTCTCAATTTTGACGCCAGGCGATGACCTTCCTGTTCAACATCTATCTGCACACAATTTCTTTCGACTCCCCATATCCCACCGCATCCCGCCATGAGCCGCCATCAGATTGAATTTCAAATGGTCGGTGACGAAACCCGACATCCTGG